CACGTTCCCCCCCCCCCATAGCTGGCAATCCAAAACAGTCCAGTGGCACCTTTAAGACCAAGTTTTATTCAGGTACAAGCTCTCCCTCCTCTGCGAGGACAGATCCGCACATTCCCTCCCCCCCATAGCTAGCAATCCAAAACAGTCCAGTGGCACCTTTAAGACCAAGTCTTATTCAAGTACAAGCTCTCCCTCCTCTGCGAGGACAGATCCGCACATTCCCTCCCCCCCATAGCTAGCAATCCAAAACAGTCCAGTGGCACCTTTAAGACCAAGTCTTATTCAAGTACAAGCTCTCCCTCCTCTGCGAGGACAGATCCGCACGTTCCCTCCCCCCCATAGCTAGCAATCCCAAACAGTCCAGTGTCACCTTTAAGACCAAGTTTTATTCAGGTACAAGCTCTCCCTCCTCTGTGAGGACAGATCTGCATGTCGTCCCCCCCCCGATAGCTAGCAATCCAAAACAGTCCAGTGGAGCCTGAGCGGTGGGTGTGGCCTTCTGACACACTTCCGGTGACGTCAGGGGGTGTGGCACATGCAAATAAGTTATGCTAATGAGCTCCTGCACCTCTTTTTCCACGAAATGACCCCTGGTCGGGACACAACTTGCTTGGAGGAATCGTTGTGGGTTAAACTGTCGCATCAAGGCCAGTCGGACTTGGGTTTCAAATCCCCCCAAGGAACTCTTTCTCTTATCCTAACCTACCTCACAGGGTCGTTGTGAGGATGAAAACAGAGGAGTGCCGGCCTGAGCTCGTTGGAAGAAGGGCAGGGTCAAAATGGTGGCGGGAGGGAGGGGAGTCCTTCTACACTCCACATGCAGGACGTTCTCCTAAACAGCTGTCTTCTCTCTGTTTTCTTACAAGAGGACCTTCCTCATTGGGAGAGAGCAGCGAAGACTTAGGGCCGGCCTAGCTGTACGCGACTGGAGCTCCAGACATATTTCCTGGCCTCCTAGTTTTCTCCCAATCTGGATTTGTGACGTGGTGCTCAGGGAGGAAGGGGCGGGGAAGGGGTTGAACGGCTCACCTCTGTTCCAGGTAAGGGGAGCTGCAGAAGCCCTGCTCTGGGTACAGTAGCCAGGCCTCCCCCCCACCCCCGGCCACCGGCGATGGGTTGCCAGATCCAGGCTGGGGAACTCCTGGAGATTTGGGGGCGGAGCCTGGGGAGGACCGGGACCTCAGCCGGGTGTGATGCCACAGACTCCGCCCTCCAAAGCAGCCATTTTCTCCAGGGGAACTGATCTCCGTGGTCTGGAGATGAGCTGTAAGTCGGAGGGATCCTCAGGTCCCACCTGGAGTCTGGCATGCCTAGTTGCCATCCTCCAGGCGGGGCCTGGAGAATTCCCAGAATTACAGCTGGTCTCCTGCCTGTAGAGATCAGTTCCCCATGGGGGAAAAATGGCTGTTTTGGAAGGTGGACTCTGCGGCATTGTTTCCCACAGAGGTTCCTCCCCTCTCCCGAACCCTGCCCTCCCCAGAACTCGCTCCACCCCCAAATCTGCAGGAATTTCCCAAACCCAGTGTTGGCAACTCTGCCGCCCAGATCACAAGTTGTACATGTGAGCTATTGCAGAGCGAACAGATGTGAGCTGTGATGATGGGGTAAAGCAGGGGTGTCAAACACGCGGCCCCGGGGGCCAGATCAGGCCCCCCCCCTCCAGAGGGCTTCTATCAAGGCCTGCAGTAGAACTGGCTGTCTCCTGCTTCTTCTTCCAGTTCTGCTGCTGCTGCGTCAGAGGCATTTCTCAAGCCCTCTGATACTATTGGGGTGGGGGTGGGGGTAAGCAATGGGGGTAAAGAAACCCAGGATCCAAGTTCCAAGCTGAAAGGGGGAACAAAGCTGGCTTCTTTAGGGCTCTCTGTACATGGTCAGAGGCATTTCTCAAAAGTTCTACAGCAGAGCGGCAAGCCCTCTGATAATATTAGGGGGGGGGTAAGCAATGGGGGGGAAGAAACCCAGGATCCAAGTTCCAAGCAAGCCTTGGTAGCCTCCACGGCCCTGAGAGGCAGATTCAAAGCACCCCTTCCCCCCACCTAGGCCGAAGCGAGACTGGGCTCCTCGAGCGGGACTACAACCCCCAGTGTGCTTTGCGCCGAGGGAAGGCGCGGCCGAGGCCTCACCACCAGGCCCGCTTCCACCCTGAAGCGTAGAGCGGGCGACCGGCCGAGCGGCGACTTCAACTCCCAGAGTGCATTGCGCGCGACGAGCGACGCTGCGCCCCGCGGTGGGAGTCGGGGCTGCGGCTTCCGGCGGAAGGAAGTGAGGGAAACGAAGACGACGACAGCGGCGGCAGGAGCCGTGGCCTCCCCTCCTCCTCCTCCTCCACTCCCTCCCGCGTTCCCGTCCCGTCGTGCTTTGCGACACAGGGGTCGACCGCTCGCGGCCGGGGCTCGCGCCGCATCTCCCCCCGCCCCCCCATTTCTCCTGGTTTCCAAGGAGACGCGGACTTCTCCCTCGCGCCCTCTTCTCCCTTCTCCTCAAACGCCGCCGCCGCCGCCATTATGTCGGCCCAGGCCCAGATGCGGGCGCTGCTCGACCAGCTGATGGGCACGGCTCGGGACGGTGAGTAGCGGCCTGCGAGGAAGGAAGCGGAAGTCGCCCCCGCCGGCCTGGCGCGGGGCAGAGAGCCTGGGGCCAGGCCCGCCGCCCTCCTCCTCCTCCTCCTCCGGCCTTCCCTTGACGCTTCCCTCTTGGGGGGGGGGGGTGAGGGGTGAAGGCTCTCCCGGCTGAGGGCTGCGGAGTCTCGAAACCGAGTGAGGGGGAGGAGCACTCTGCACGTGCTCAGAGGCGCCGCTCTCTGCTGCCTTGCTGAGCTCCCGTGGAGAAGGAGAAGTACTTTGCACGTGCTCAGAGGCGCCGCTCTCTGCTGCCTTGCTGAGTTCCCCTGGAGGAGAAGCTTCGATAGGCACTTCGCACGTGCTCAGGGGCGCCGCTCTCTGCTGCCTTGCTGAGCTTCCCTGGAGGAGAAGTACTTTGCATGTGCTCAGAGGCGCCGCTCTCTGCTGCCTTGTTGAGCTCCCCTGAAGAAGTACTTCGCACGTGCTCAGAGGCACCGCTCTCTGCTGCCTTCTTGCGTTCTCCTGAAGAAGGAGAAATACTTGGCGTGTCCTCAGAAGCGCCGCTCTCTCCTGCCTTGTTGAGTTCCCTTGAAGAAGAAGTACTTTGCACGTGCTCAGAGGCACTAATCTCTGCTGCCTTGTTGCGTTCTCCTGAAGAAGGAGAAATACTTGGCGTGTCCTCAGAAGCGCCGCTCTCTCCTGCCTTGTTGAGTTCCCTTGAAGAAGAAGTACTTTGCACGTGCTCAGAGGCACTAATCTCTGCTGCCTTGTTGCGTTCTCCTGAAGAAGGAGAAATACTTGGCGTGTCCTCAGAGGCGCCGCTCTCTCCTGCCTTGTTGAGTTCCCATGAAGAAGGAGAAGTACTTTGCACGTGCTCAGAGGCACCGCTCTCTGCTGCCTTGCTGAGTTCCCCTGGAGAAGGCTAGGACCTTTGCACATGCTCAGAGGCACCGCTCTCTGCTGCCTTGTTGAGTGCCCCTGAAGGAGTAGTACTTTGCACGTGCTCAGAGGTGCTGCCTTGTTGCGTTCTCCTGAAGAAGGAGAAGTACTTGGCGTGTCCTCAGAGGCGCTGCTCTCTCCTGCCTTGTTGAGTTCCCCTGAAGAAGGATAAGCACTTTGCATGTGCTCAGAGGCACTGCTCTCTGGTGCCTGGTTAGGTTCCCGTGAAGAAGGATGGCTACTTCTCGCACATGCTCAGAGGCACTGTTCTCTGCCTGCTGGCTTCTCAGGCTCCAGTGGGGGCTGTAAATCTTTCTGCCTGCTCCGAGACACTTCTTTCTGTGATAGTATCGCTCAGGCCTTTGCAAAGGGTTCCTGTGTAGGGTAGCTCCTTTGTATGTACTCAGAGGCACTACTGTGCCTGCTGGTTTTCTCAGGCACCAGTGGAGTCTGTAAATCTTTCCACAAGCTCTGAGATTCTGCTTTTTGTGACATTACTACTCAGGATCTTGCAAAGGGTAAAACACTGCAGAAGCACCAATCGCTCAGGCACCAGTGGAGTCTGTAAATCTTTTCACAAGCTCTGGGATTCTGCTTTTTTGTGACATTACTGCTCAGGATCTTGCAAAGGGTAAAACACTGTGCAGAAGCACCGATCTCTATTCAGTTATTTCTTCAGGCTCCTGAAAAGACTAAAAATTCTGCACGTGCTCAGGCGCACTGCTTTTGTTCCATGATTTCTCAGGCTTTTATGGAGGCCAGATGCTCTTTATGTGTTCAGAGGTGCTGTTTGCCCTGCCTCAGGTTAAGACTTGAGAACTAGAGTTATTCTGGAGACCCTTTAGTGGGAAAGTTAAAAAGCCTTACCACCTGTGATAAGGCAAGAATCTGATGGCACCTTTAAAACTGGCTCAGCCGATCTGTGTTGGTATATTTAAAACACACGTACAGCTTTAAAGAAGCTGTTTTTAGAGTGCTCAAGTAAAGCCTCCATGTTCAGAGGCAGATTACCTCAGTATGCTGGGGAAAGGAGGGGGAGAAACTATCCTGAGCTTTTCAGAAGCGCCCATCTGGTCGGTGTTGGACATGCAGTGCTGGACTAGGTGGACATTTTGTGTGATCCAGTGTGGCTCTTCCTAAAACATTACGTGGCATATGCGTGAGTCTTGAGGAAAGGGCAGCCGGCTGGCAGAACGTAGCAAAAGTCGAACCAGTCTGGCCAGTTCAGAGTTTTGGCCATGCAGCAGGCTGGCTAGCTTGACGTTTGGGTGGCGACACTCTCCGCCAGGCCCAGCCCACAGTGACAGGTGCCCAAGCGGGATGGCCGAGTCCCCCGCCACACCTGCGTCATCACATCCTCAAGGTGTGCCAACCCAACCACTCACCAAAGCAGGTGAGACCGTTGTTGGCACAACAGTCGATCCCCTGGAAACATCTGCTCGGTAGGGTAAAGGCGCTGGTACAGATGGCAGAAGGGGAACAATCTGGCCTTTTCTGAGTAACGCAGTGTGCACAGTACATTTCTGGGCCTGTTTGGGAAGCAAGGAATAAATACTACATCAACTTCTGTAACTTGGGCAAGTCACAGCTGCCAGAGCATGGAGTTTTTAGGTTCCAGGTTTCTCCGCCATGGCTCTGTACCGTGGCTGATAGTCTCACTGCTCCGCTCTTACGTGGTGAGGCTTTTCTTCAGTGAACTCACCTGTAGCATTAATGCTTCATGTATTAAAAAAAACACAAAGGCAGACCTGTTCTGTGTACAGACAGGATCTTAGTGTTTTGCTCCAGGAAAACATCACATCCCTTCCGAAAGCTGTGCATTCCTGACAAGGTTTGTATCTGCTTCTCTGCTCGAATCGGCAGCTTAAAAGTCTTAAGAGTGTTTGCAGGACTCTGCAAGATAACCCTTTTTTTGCACTTGGTTTCATAAGTGAATAAGTGCTCGTTCTTTCTTTGTGTATTTGAGTTGATTTTGAATTGCTTCCCATATTTTTATTTCATACAAACTGAACAATTGTGGCCCCTCTATTTTATTTATAAAGGTTCAGTGTATCTTTGCCTGCCTACATCAATCTGCAAAGGAGTTGCAGAAAAGCCTCATGTTCATCGAGCCGTGAGTCACAACCAATTTTTAAAGCTGTTATAACAAAAAAAAAAAGTGTTTGCTTTTTTTCACAAATAACTTTAAAAGTGTAGTCTAGAAAGAAGAAGAGAGAAAAAAAATTTAAAAATACATTTTCAGTAAACACGACATTAATCCTGGATGCTTGCAAATCCTGAACTATACACAGACTAGCTTTCTTTTAAAAGAAAAGGAATTGTCACATACCATTACCACTTTGCCTTTACTTCTTATGTATCATTCCCCTGACTTCCTTACTGCAGGTGTGGGCAAGAAAACTTTTCCTTTAAAACTTTTCAACAGCGGGCATAAAATTCTGCAGCTGAGGTCTTGAAGAATGCAGATGGGTATAGTATGTGTTGGAGCTCGCAGTGTGTATTAACCACCTTTTTTTTTTTTTTTGGTTTTGCTTGTTTTAAGTGGCTCCCAAATGTGAAATGTTTTTAGGGGGGGAGGGATAAGGCAAGATCCCACTTTCCAGGCTGGTACCTAAACGTCCCTGTGGCTCTGGGAAGTTCATTACACGTTAATTTTTTACGTGCAACTCGGCAGTATTTATCCTTTCCATTACTGGATTTGGAAATAACTTGCGATCAGAATCCCCCAGGTGTGGGTATCGTGATTCACGGCCTCCAGATCACGTGGGTTTTGGTATCTCCGGACCCACGTTCTCCGTATAGGAAGCCTGTGTGGTCTCCATCCAGACTGCCTTTTGTTGACGAAGGCCTCTTTACGTAACTATTATGGACAACGTTACAGTCTGCACTGTACTTAGTCAGCGGTGCATGTCACCTTTAAACGCTATCTAGCGTGGTCCTCGGCCGTAGAGGAAAGAACAAAAATTCCGTTAACGTGCGCTTTTTGTAGTTTTCCAAGCAGTTCTGGGGTTCGTGAAGTATTTTAATCTGCATACCACAGCTTTGCCTTGCTTGATGGGCCTTTTTTTTTTAATGCTTTTCATATTTATAACCAAACATGAATTTCAGGAGACGAAACCAGACAAAGGGTGAAGTTTACAGACGACCGTGTGTGCAAGAGCCACCTTCTGGACTGTTGCCCTCATGATATCCTGGCGGGAACGGTAGGTGCTTTGGGCTGGGCAGCCAAAGGATGCTGGGAATAATTCTGTGAGATGCCTCGCTGTCTGTTGGCAAGGCCCTGATTTTCAGGGCCCCCCCCCCCCCCATTTGGGGGGAGACGCAGGTTTTGTGGTTAAGTGTGCGGACTCTTATCTGGGAGAACGGGGCTTGATTCCCCCGCTCCTCCATTGCAGCGTCTGGTGTGCCCTTGGGGCAGTCCCAAGCTCTCTGGGAGCTGCTCTCTCGTGAGCAGTCCTCGAGAGAGCTCTCTCAGCCCCACCTACCTCACAGGGTATCTGTGGTGGGGAAGAAGAAGAGATTGGATTTATACCCCGCCCTTCACTTGGAGTCTCAGAGCGGCTTCCAAACTCCTTTCCCTTCCTCTCCCCACAACAGACACCCTGTGAGGTGGGTGGGGCTGAGAGAACTCTGACACAAACTGCTCTTTTTCAAGGACAGCTGTACCAGAGCTTGTGACTGACCCAAGGTCACACCAGCAGGCGCAAGTGGAGGAGTGGGGGAATCAAACCTGGTTCTCCCAGATTAGAGTCCGCGCACTTAACCACGACACCAAACTGGAAGGGAAAGGAGACTGTAAGCCGCTCTGAGACTCCGAGTGAAGGGCAGGGTATAAATCCAATCTCCTCCTCCTCCTCCTCCATAGTTGAGGGCAGCCATACATGGTCCGCTTTATAGTGATACTGTACGCGAAGTGCTTGTTAGGAACAGCCTCGCAGAAACACTTTTAAGTCTTCTGGTTACGAAGCAAGTCACAAGGTGGGGGCGTTTTGGCCGCGGTTGCTGCAAGGGCCAACAACGCTCGCACCCGGTCAGCTGACCCGAAGGAGCAGCCCCTCTGAAATACCTCACTAGAAGGGGGTGCCAGCCTCCAGGTGGGACCTGGGGATCCCCCGGAATCACAGCTCGTCTCCAGACTGCAGAGATCAGGCCCCTGTCCTCCCCGGGCTCCGCCCCCAAATCTCCAGGAGTTTCCCACGCTGGATCCGGCAGCCCTGTGCCACCATCCCCCGCCAATGGCCAGGAGGGACTTGGGAGCCCTACTCACTGGCTTCCTATAGCCACGATGGGCGTTTCATGCTGTGGGTGTTTCCCGAGCCTCCCACAAGGTCTGGGCTGAACGGCGCCACCCAGGTGTGAACCTGGTTTTGGAGCGGGGAGGCGCAGCCTTGTCTCAGACAGGCTTGAACCCCTCTTCGCCACACCACCAACCAACCGCGAGCTTCAGTCGGTTCGCCCTCGTCAGGCCCACTTGCCAGTCGTAGGGACTTCCAAGTATACAGATTCCACTCGTAGAAAACACCACCCAAAGTCGCCAAAACAATATATTTAAACAATTATAAAGTTGGCGGTGTCACAACAACAACACTTATGCATACTGTAACCAGGGCTTTTTTGGCTGAAAAAGCCCAGCAGGAACTCATTAGCATAATAGGCCACACCCAACCGCAGAAACACATTAGCATATTAGGCCCACCCCCCATGCTTCCCCTTGGCTTGCCTGGGCGCCTAGCGTCGGTAGGGAGCCCGGTCAAGCCAGCCCTTGGACAGGCCGGGGAAGGCGCAGGGAGGCATTTAAATGCCTCCCCGATCCTTCCAGGGACCCCTGGCCTACCTGCCTCAGAGTCACCGGGGTGGTGGTGGTTTCTGTTCTCCAGACCATTCTTCTGTAGCCACGCACGCAGAGGTTTTGGCGGTAGTGGCCGTGGCCAACTCTGAAGCCAGACGGAACTCCATTCCTGTGCGTTCCTGCCCAAAAATAGCCCTGACTGTAACTATATTAAGGCATAAGAGACAATATTTCCTCCTTTGAAGATGAGACACAAAGTCCATTTATTCAGTGTAACTTGATACCTTGATAAGAGGGAGTCCGCGTAGTCATTCCTGTGCGTTCCTGCCCCAAAATAGCCCTGACTGTAACTATATTAAGGCATAGGAGACAATATTTCCTCCTTTGAAGATAAGACACAAAGTCCATGTATTCAGTGTAACTTGATACCTCGATAGGAGGGAGTCCGCATAGTCATAACACATTTCAGACAGCCTTTGCTGTAGGGACTTGGCTCAGTAGTCGTGTTTTGGATGGGAAGGAGAGCCAGGGGTGAGTGCTGGCCGGAGGCTGGTGGTGCTCTTCACTTCAGGTTGCCAGACTGCCCTGGCCAGGACTGGAGGGTGTGTGTGGGGGGGGGGTTGAATCATGCGGGTCAGCAAGCACAGATGCCGTAGCTGTGAACGACACCATTTTCCTGCATATTCATGCCAACGAGAAGTCTGTGCCCAGGTTTCAGTTCTCAGGCAGGTGGTCCAGAAAGACCACGCAGACACCAGTATTTGAAATAACATTGAGTGACCCAGGAGAACCAACAGGGTGTTCTGGGTGTTGGTTGCCTCCAACGCTCCCTCTAAGCTGTGGAGTCTCGTGAGCAAAAATTCTACTTTGTGAGCTACTGGCATGAAAATTGTGAGCCAGCTAATTGGCTCCTGCATCAATTGGTTTGCTCTGGAGCCGTCCTTCCTGAGCTGAGACAAGAATGTGTGAGCCGGAGGCTAAAAAAACTGTGAGCTAGCTCACACCAACTCAGTTTAGAGGGAACACTGGTCGCCTCTATGTTACAGAACTGGTTCTGTCCATCTTCTATATAGATATTAAACGTATAGCTTCCAATGTAATTCAGTTCTTGCAAATATTGATTGCTGGTAGCTATGTGTTGCTGTGCTCGTACCGATACATGAAACATTTTCACTGATTCTCCCCTCCCTCCTGCCTTTTCCTTGTCAACAGCGCATGGACCTGGGCGAATGTACAAAAATCCACGATTTGGCTCTCAGAGCAGATTATGAGATCGCGAGCAAAGAGAAAGACCCGTTCTTCGAGATGGATGTAAGTTCCTTTGTGTTTTTTGGCAGTGATACACGGGTATCAGGTTGGACAGTAGCGGGCCCTGACATTCCCAGCTATCTCAAACAGAGCTGCGGTGGCTCAAGTGGTTAAGATGTTGAACTGCAGGCTGTGGAAGGTCGGTAGTTCAGCAGTTCGAGACCCGGGTGCCACATGACAGAGTGAGCTCCCATCTCTAGTTCCAGCTCCTGCCAATCTAGCAGTTCGAAAGCAAGAAATTGCAAGTAGATAAATTGGTACCACTTCAGTGGGAAGGGAACAGCGTTCCGTGCGCCTCGCTGTTTAGTCATGCCGGCCACATTACCACGGAAACGTCTTCGGACAGCGCTGGCTCTTTGGCTTGGAAACGGAGATGAGCACCGCAACCCTAGAGTCGGATTCGACTGGCTTTCGAGCAAGGGAAACCTTTACCTTTACTTTATACGGGTATCAGGTTGGACAATAGCGGGCCCTGACATTCCCAGCTACCTCAAACGAGTGATTCCGTTCTTCAGGCAACGTTCTTGTTGCCAGGGTCAGCCCAGGCACCCTGCCGTTCGCAAAACATTAAGCGGTTTCTCAGATATGCAGAACTGCAGCTGGTGGTGTTAAGATAGGGGCTTAGTATTAAGCCCCCGGGAATTCGCTTAGCATATCTTATGACTGAACTATTCTGGGATGCTTCTGGAGCTCGTCTCCGGAGCGAATCCGAGATGAACGCCTTGTATTTATTTGCAACATTTGCCTGCTTTTCTGGCCCACCAGGGTCGCCAAGGTGACTCATTCACCTTCACTCTAAAGCCTTTCTGTGCCACAGGCTATGGAAGGCAGCCGGCTGCCGTTTTGCACGGTGGACGTTGTCGAGGCACTCGTTCCCCGAACTGCTTCCGTAAGAGGAGTTTGTGGCTTTCGAAGGCCCAGTTAGGAACCTTTCCCTGTCAACCGAAGTCTCTTGAGACCATTCCGATGCCCACGTCAAATAGTATTACCTGAGGGAGGGTGGACTTCGGCCTCACCGTCTTGCATCCTGTCTGTATCTTTTCGGTTTTAAATAAATCATTTGAATGGTGAATGATGTTAAAAAATAGATTCAGCCAGGGGTCATTTGGGGGGGGGGCGCCATCCCCCCGGGTCAGGTGCGGGAGGGCGGGGCCTGGAGCTCCCTGCTGGAGCCCGCTGGAGGTCGCCGCCGGCTTTGGGGAGGACACACTTCTGGTGATGTCAGTGGGTGTGGCATATGCTAATGAGTTATGCTAATGAGTCCCCCTAGCTCTTTTTCTACGAAATGACCCCTGGGCACTTGTTACATGGATAGATATAGTTAACAACACTCGTAAATATTGGTACGGGCACTGAATACGCAGTGAACGCGTGATACCCAGGGCTATTTTCGGGCAGGAACGCACAGGAACGGAGTTCCGGCAAGCCTCAGAGCTGGCCACCCCCACTACAGCCAAAACCTCTGCGTGTGCGTGGCTACAGAGGGAAGGCCTGGAG